AGATCAACGACAGAATTGAGGATTTGGAGGTTCATATTACATGCGCCCTTATTTACTGTATTCTCTTTTTTCCCCTATAACAGTGGTCCCCAAACAGATAAAAATATAGTTTCCAATAGATTTTTAGTGGGGATCTACTTTTCTATCTAAAAAAACATTAATTAGAAAACTGCCAAACCTGTATATTTATTGGGTGGTCTTTTATAAAAACGTAAGCAAGTGAATTAAAATAGTGAAGACCACCCTAGTAAAATATCATACTTGGGGGTCTATATATGCTGTGGCTCCATGCGGCACGCTGCTTGGCCTGGGGTCAACTCATGCCCCTTGCTTGGGCTCCAGCTCGGGCCCTCCCGCGCGTGGGCGTCGACGACGCCCAATCGCCGCGCCTTCCAAAGCCGCGGTCCCGTCACCGTGGACCCGCCATGCCGCAGCCGGAGCAGGGACCCCGAAGTGCCTTGGGTCGATACGTTTGGTGAACCACCGGACGTTCCAGAGTTTGTGAAACACTGCTGCAACACAGCAGTGGCAGGAAAGGTCACATGTTCATTGGATCAGCTCCAGAAGTTCGGTCCTATCGTCTATGTCGGTCTCGTTTGCCGATTTTTCGAACGACACGAGCTCGAAGTCGAGCCATTTTGCCGGAGAAGATCGAAGATGGATGCATGGGGAACTGGGGTTCCCATGCACCGACAAGAGCCCCTGAGGCATCCATAGACTCCCATCAACGTCCCTGGAAGGACCAGGGAACGCCCGAGAGAGTTACATAGTTTGTCACAGTCGTGGAGCCAGAAAAACCCACCTCAACACCCTGCCGCCCAGGTGTTGCGCAGCTGGGGCAGCACATGGCGGACCATCACTGCCCATTTCGGGGTTGGGGGGAGGGAACGTCTTGGGCGAAGGCATCGGTTTTTTGGGCGTTTGGGGGCGGGTTTTAGAGGTGAATCATGGTGAATGTGTCAACTTGGCGTCCACTTCCAGGTCGCGGAGCTGTGTTGGTCCACCAAACCATGGTGTCCACCAAACTCGGGGGCGACAGAGAAGTCACTCCTTGCAGTTCTCGTGGTTCACCTGCGGGCGAGTGTGGACGGAGGCATCACTTTTGTCCTTTTTGTGGCCGGTGCAGGAGCTTATGCCATTTGCATGCTGTATGCCATGTGGCACTTGCATGAGGCCTTTGGTGAACCTCTCCCAAATGGCCTAGAAGAACCATGGAACTTCGTTGTTTGAACCTGAAGAGGCTGAAGAGGCTTCAGGTGGGGATCCTCCTGAAGTCCACCTCCACCCCCGCGCCCGCACGGGGCGACCGTGCAGCCGTCGTTCTCCGAGGTGGATCCAGGAAGCGTTGAAGGCGGATCGCCTCGCAGCCATGAAGCAGATGGAGTTGCAGCATGGAGCCCTGTGGCCTGGTCCCAGATTGGTCGTTCGTTCGGCGCACGTGCCGCTTCGGTGGTCTTGCAGGGGGGGGGCGGGGCCTGCTGGAGGGGCAAGACGCAAGAGGGGAAACATCGACATTGGGAGCAAGTGAGTGTTTGGTAGCTTGTTTTGAACCCAAACGGTCAAACACCAAGTCAACTAAGTCAACTGTCTCGATCGGAAGTCTTGATCAACCATGATCAAACCATTGTTGAAGTGAAACCATTTGTTTGAAGGAGTCTGCTGAGTCTGCTGATCAAGAACCAGGTGAACAGTAAAAAAACTCAACACGACTTTTAGGGGTAAAGTCTTCCAGTTGCCTCCCGTATCACCTCCCACAAGGACACTCGCTTGCGCCCTCTGCAAAGCACACTCATCAGCGCAAGAAAAGAACCCATTGCGACAAAGGATTTATCGCATACGCCAGTTGCCTTCAAGAGTGCTGGGGCCTATGTCGTATGGCTTTGCACGCCTGCACGCATGCATGCCATGCCCAAAACTACCTGAATTGCCTTCGGCTGTGATGCGTGCCACTTTCACCAAATTGACACAAACAGCGCCGACACTCAACCGATCGCATTGTTGAACTCAAATGACTCGAGCTCCGGCGGTCGGGGACGAAGCAGGCTGAAGCGCATCAACGCATGGTGCGAGGGGCAGGCAGAGGGGCGGGGAGGCCTCCGCAACCTGTGTCCGCAGGGGTGTGACCCTGACCGCCGCAACCTGTGGCGGGCCGCGATGCGGATTCGGATGGATTTGGTCCTTGCTTGTCTTCTTCTTGTGATCAGCACGGGTCCAGGAGAGAACTTTTGAGAAGGTGAAGCTTGATCTAGTGACCATCTCTTCTTCATCGGCACCCGCCACTGGTCGGAGGTCCCAACGACGGGCCTGGGCGGGTTTCCAACCCCTTACATCCCTGTTTTGAGTTGGTGGAATGTGGTGGATTTATATGGATTTATTTTCATGTCAGATTGCCCGCGAGGAGTTAAAACATCTTCAGGATTGTTGGCTCTTCTAGTGCAGCAGAAGCAAACATCCCCTAATACCATCTATATAATATCATTTGTATAATACCATCTAATATCTAATTTGAGCGTTTGGGTTGGCTGTTCGGACAGGACATCAGAAGTGCTTCTCGCCCACTTGGGGGACCCCTTGCCATCACATGCCATGCTTGCTGTAGCCGCTGGTCGCAGGCCAAGGAAGCGAAGCAGGCCTCTTGGCGAGCCAGTGGCCAGAGCTGGCTGGAAGGTCCAGGAGGAACAAGTAACAATAGCAATGAGGACTCTTGATTGATCACCCCCTCATATGAAGAGGCTCTACCATCTGAATGAGGGGTTATGAATCAAGAGTCTGCATTCTGCAGTGGGGATATGTCGGTCACAAAATGGAGCCGCAGAAACATTTGTGAGCAACCGACGAAATAAGGACAATTTAATTGCAAAAAGAAATCTTGCATTCTTCCAACTGGCGCAGCCACACTGCAAGCCTCACGAGCGGCCACTGGCAAGCATATGCAGGTGGCACCTATTTAATCCTACTTCGCTATTTCCACCAAATCAGGAATGTTGGATTGCTAACAGGATACCTAGTACCTTAGTACCTGATCGGAATGATGATGTCACCGAAAAGAATTCATTTGAGACCTTGGCATGGATGGAGGGAAGCCCAGAAGCCCCACGAAGAAGAAGGGTGCACTCATTTGAGGTGACACACCACGGTACGAAGACAAGAAAGAACGAACATCAAGCACAGGTCGGTGAGACTTACCTTGAGGTTTTTGTTCGGCGCTCCATGTCTTTTGTTCACACGCGTTAAACCGTTAAGCCAATCTAGAGTCGCTCGTACTGATTTCTTGCACCAAGCTCTTGAATTGGACAAAACTGTATACTGTTCGTGGCAATCCGCGGCCGGAGGGACACCCGGGCGTGGGGGCTGGTCTCCGGAGGCGATCCGCGGCTGTGCCTGGTGGGGTGGTTTCTCACCTTCCCACAGCGCGACTGGCTTTTTGCGTCCCCAGTTTTCCCATGGATCAGCCAATAACCAGCTTTAGGGATTCGTTCAGGCCATGAACCGATGGATTGACTTCGGTCACACTCCACATGCCACACCACTCGGTGTGGCAGTGCTTCGACCCCCCCAAGCGGCTGAGGCGCTGAGGCTGGACATTCGAGAACTAGAGGCTGCGAGGGGAGGGCTGAACAGCGGCCGTGGGGGAGCAGCACGGCACCATGAAACGCCATGGATCTCCTTCAGAGAAGCTGGGTGTGTGTTTTTTTTCTTGTTTTTTTTTGGGGTGGGCCCCCCAACAAGTGCCTTTCCCACTCCAAATCTCCTTGAGCCATTCTCTACTGTATCATTCCTGCAGCCCTTAACTATAGGAAGAAAACACCCGGCCCAACCTGCAAGTGCTGCAAGGGTGCTACGGCCCTGCCGGGCCAGACTCAGACATCCACGACTGATGGGGTCGTAGGCCCACCCAACGACCAAAACCTGATTACCCTAGGGATCCAAAACTATACAGAACATTACAGAACAGTGTTTCCAATCACCTGCTGAGAAGGTATGACTGGATCCCTACAAATTCATGTAATCTGAATCTCTGATGGCGTCCGCCCCTTGCCGGCAGGCGGTGGCCGAGGCTCCTTTCTTAGCACGTGAAGTGTGAGTCGTCGTGGGTCTTTGAGCGACGCGAAGAACCTCACAAGTGTCCGATTGTTGCCATCCCCCCAATGCAACCTACCCAGCGACCCCACCACAAGCTCCCTTTTTCATCCTGTTTCCTCAAAAGGTGGTAGATTTAGGTCCAAGTTGGGCAGCGTCCCACACACTAGACCCAGCTGCAGCCGTGGGCGTCGTCTCGAGGCCGTTTCACCATGTTTCACAATGCTGGGCCCTGCGGCTAGTTGAATTTTAGGGGAGTCAGGTGCTTCATCAAACAACGCATTCTCGCTTGGGTCACAGATAGCGAGAATGTATTTTTTCTATGTTTTTCTCATGCCAGGCATTTCGTTGCAAGTTGCAAGAGAATTGCAACTGCACAGAAATGCATAGCGAGAATATTTTGCTTGTTGTATCAAGCAAGTCAGTGGGATCGGTTCCGTCGTGGCGGTATGATCCATCCCCACCGTTGTGCTTTTTTTTGTGAAGGCGGCAGGTGGTCACGGCGCAGGTCAGGGCGGCCTGCCTTTCTGGCTGGGAATTCAACCGGACTTGGCAGTTCCGGTGGGTTGGGATTCTGGGCCCGTGATCCCCTGAGCTGTCTGTCGGTCTGTCGGCTGATCCCCTTGAATCCCCTTGATCCCGCCAAGGGGAACGAGGGCGGCTCGGGCTCGGTGGAGGAGGAGAAAGCGAAGCTGAGGGTCTTCGCACGGCAGTTGCAGAAGGAACGCGCCGCTTGGCTTGCGGTTTGGCGCGGGTCGACGGTGGAATTGGCAGGTTGGAATCAGGAAGGGGAGGTTAGCAGCTTTGAGATGCTTTAAGCGACTTCAAAAAACTCGGAAGGGAAGGGTCTGGAGTCTACAGATGTTGACAGGGTCCAGTGGCTTCGGTCGAAACCATTCCGAAGCCTCCAGTGTCTTCAGGTGCTCTCTCCGCCCTCGACTCGGTGTGGGGACGCTGAACTCGCCTCTCCTTCGACTCCGCAGTGGGCGGCCAAACCCCATGCTCCGGCCGAGGAAGAGCTGGAGGCCTTTAAGGCTTCGGCCCTGCTCGCGAGCCACGCAGAGTCGAATGCCGTGCCTGGGGCAGCAGGACGGACTAGACCGGACCAGGCAAACTTGCTCTGGTTTACTGTGCAGGGCGCGTGGGGCTGCAGCTGTTTCTCCGTTTGCTTCGGAGGGGGTATGCGGGATGTCTCAAGTTTCGGAACGGACTTGGCCAGATCAGCTCACGTGGTGCTCAGCCAGACCGGCAGACCTGTGGAACTCCAATGGCTTGGCTGAAGATTGCGCTGGGGGCTGTTGAAGGGTCCCACGATCTGAGGACCTTCCCTGCCCCACCATCCCCTACCCTCCGGCTCCGCCATGTCGGATGCTGTCGGCGTCGAACAGTTCGATAGTGGATGGTTTCGAGCTGCTGGGCTGATGGTCCAGTGACATACACAAAAGCACACTTCGAGTTGATAGGTCAAAGACTTCAGAAGAGTCGCGGCATACTCACTGCGAGGCTTGGAAGATCTTGGAAGGCAAGGGCCTTGCTCTTTACATTTATTGTGCGGGGACGTGTCCTCTGGCACTTGGACAGTTCCTGATCTTGTATGCGTTCATGTTCCACCCAATCATCAATACATAAAGAGAAACAGGAAGGGACCACCTCCCCTCCGAGCTAGCTGGCCACACCGGGTCCCGCCCGGACCGCTCAGGTGGCGAACGTGGCGAGCGCCGCCATGGCCCTCGAGACGGGGAACCTCGCACGGATCCGCTGGCATGTGGCCGCTTGGGCGTGACCGGGGGGGGGAGGTCTGACTCGGTCTGACTTCACCGCTGAGAAGAGTGGCCGACCTGGTGTGGTGACCTGGTGTAGGATACTATAGGAGTTTATCAACCAAGCAGAGGTGGAGAAAAGATTGTAGATTGCAGTGATGCCTGTACTTGTGATTGTTTTTGAGTAAGCTGCCCTTGATAATTTGTGTATAGGACGATGGCCCAGCGTTCTCTGGCACACCTGGCCTGGCATCTAGAAAAAAACAGAACAGGATCAAAAAGGAAAAGAACACGATCAACAAAATAAGGCTCAAACAACTGAGTAGGTCCCCCAGTCCATTGGTCCCCTGGTCCGCTTGCCCATTGCCGAATTCATAATCTTTGAATTTGGCGTGAACCCTGCCCAAAAAGAGTTGTTAGTTTTTGTTGCTATGATCCTTGTGCCACTTTTTGGATGCCCTTCATCCATGGGGCAATGAGGTGTGTAGTTTCCCGTGACGATCTAGTTTGTGGTGCCTTCTGAGTCTGGTGGCCCCCCCCCCCCCAGTAACCCTTCTGGTGGCTTTTGTTTTTTTGGTTTGCGCTGTCATGCCAAAACACCTAACACCAAATCCGGCAAAATTAAAAACCACATCTATCATGGACGGCAAACACAAGTGAACGACAGGATAGACATGTTGGACACAGCAAAGGCCAGCCCTATCAGACACCAGAGAACAACGAAAGGATGATTGGAAGACCTGCATTTCCCGGCTGTCAGAACAGCAGGGTAGAGGCCCCAAAGGCCTTTTCCTATAGTCCCCGGTCCCATCACTGGACGAGGCCACCAATCGGATCATCAACTTGATGGGCCAACGCCCCTTGGGGACGACGACGGGGGCTGGAATCGGCAGTTCCGGGATGTCATGACATGTGGAAGACGTGTGGGTCGATGGTGGACATGTGAAACGTGCGGGGGCGACCTCGGCACGAAGGACTGGGATCCGGTTGAAGTCTCAGAAGGACGAACGATGACTTGGTGGAACGAAGGGAAACCTGTGACATGTGCGCAATGATATTGACTACACTCCCTGGAGCTAACATGGAATGGAAAAGACCATTTGCCTCTATATACAAACATATACAAACAGGGGGTGTTTTATTGGGAGATTGACCTTTTGGACAGGAGACCGAACCTGGCCACTCTGGGTGAAACACCTCCTTTGGACCATCCCCCCCAATGCCGTTTGGACCTACGCCTCGTGCAGAGCGCGCGCACGCGCGCGCGGGACCCGCGTGTCGCGAGGTAAGTCGCAGTCCTTGGTCGACAAGATGAAGAAGAACATGAATAGTTCCATGCTGGCGTCCTTGGCCACGATGCCACCGGCCGCTGGGATTGAAGCAACGCTGGGCAACAGAGTTGGTGGCACACCAAAATCTATCTTACGTTGTACGTGGTCTTACCCGTTCTTGATCCATTGGTTTATCACAGAACTGTGCTGTAGATGGCAGGTCGAACACATCAAAGGCTGACACATGCTGACACCACTGGTACTGCGTAACTCTATTTTGCAGTCGCTGATGCCCAAACTAGTCAGTCCTTGTATGCCTTTTGGACGCCAGGTTCCTGGCCCTCCCCTCTCCTTCCCGGCCCTGGAGGCCTCGGCCGTCCGCTGGTCAGGCCATGGAGGCGTCGGCCTCGCGCCAGTCGCGCTTCTTTGAGGAAGGGGATGGGCGCACGATCACGGACAAGTGCTTCTGGGGCATTCCCTACCTGAAGAAGATCCTCGGAGACAAAAAGAGTTTGGAACGGGAGGTTTTTGGGCGTGTGGTGTGGGTTTGGAACGGGATCTGGAGCTGGGGTCAAGCGAGAGAAGTCAATGTATGAAACATGAGACCATACAAAATACAAACCGTCCCAAAGCGCCAAATTTGGTTTGGACCATCGCTTTGATCATGCCCCCCTGCTGGTTCCGCCGTTGGAGCATCGGCTGGGCTCAAACGATCGTTTTCCGCCCAAAGCCGAATGGGGAAGTCGGAGTCTCGGTCAAACACAGCCCTTCCTCAAAGACGTTGAGGGCTAGCGGGCAGCTTCCCTGTTGGGAATCCGATGTTCTTGGGGGCTGACACCCTTTGAGCTCTCCTGAAAATTGAAAAATCCAAACCGGTGAAAAAACATGAAAAAAACAGCCCGCCCAGCCATCTCTTGGACAACTTTCCCTGCAGTTAAGCGGGGTGGCTAGTGTGTGGACTGTTACAAGTTCATTAACCTCCTCATGATCGACTCGGCCACAGTTGCTCGACACATGCGAGCACGACCATTTTTTCAGTCGAACATTTCGAACCTTTCAAAGGATGGTGACCAGCTATCCCTTCGAGCTATTTTTTGTCTTCTTGATCGTAGCAACCTGGCCGGGGAGGGCTCGCTCTACACTCGTCCGTAGTGAGTCTTATGTGTGCACGCATTTCCTGATGGGGTGGGAGAGAGTGGTCAACTGGGCAGGGCGTGGGTGAAGCTTGGTGGACATGTCTTTCTAGGTGGAACTTCACGAGATCAGTCCTGTCCTGAAGACCTTTGTGGGGTCTATCAGGTGCTCTCGGAGCTCTCATTTTTTTTGGGGTGTTGGCTTGGAGCACTGATTCTAGTTTTCAAACACCGCGCGTTTTTGGGGAAGCGTGCAGCAGGTTGGGACGGTTGGAAGGTGTAGCGGCCACGGGGGGGTCCCCGATGGACGCTCTCAGTGTCCCAAAAAATCCTGGCATTCCGACCCATTCATTCAGATTCTGAGTTTGCTCCATGACTACTCTGTGTTTCTGAAAGCCAAGCAAAAACGGTGGCACTCTCTCCATCCCACAGGGTGCCTCGGCAGTCGGCCGCTCAGTTGTGGGGTCTCGTTCCGCCGGTGCTTTCGCATCACTTGCGGGGCATGGATCCAGGTGAACTGTGGCACCATGATGGCGCAGATCGAGCTGATCGGCGGTAAGCTGGCCTACGAAGTCGGCTTGCAGCCGGACCGGAAGGGTGGTGTTGGGACGGTGGGGATGTTCGGGCGATGCGTTGGCAGAAACGTGGCGAGACGTGGCGAGCGTTTTCGCTTTTTGGGTTCCCGGGATTTGAGGAGGCACGGCGGAAGGAGAATCCGAACATCAATGAGGAGGGATGTGGAGCAAGCATAGACATGTAGAAATCTAAGGCCCTGAACCTGATTTTTTTCTACTGGTGCAACTTTTTCCATTGAATTCAGGTCCACCTGGTCAGCCAGTTGGCACCGCCAGGATCCAGTGAACACTTTGGACGACTTCTTCTTCTACACCGAGCTGGGCTTCGGCCTGGCCTTTACCTTCGAGATTTGCTTGAAGCGGCTTGAGCTGCAGAAAACCTGTAGACCAAGAGGATTGTCAAGAAATGGGGGAAGAAGATCAGGGAGATGCATTTCTGAACTGCGAGGTGTTACAGCATAGTGCAGCCAATTTCTCAACATCTTGCTGGGTTGGCTGCTGGGCCCATCTTTCCACATCTTTCCACCCACCCGGCCACATCGAACCTGGCCCGTGAAACCGCCGGCTGCCAGGTTCGTGGGCTTCGGCTTGCTGGGCTTTTGGACACTTGGCCGCGCTGGAACCCGCTCAGGACGACCATCCCGTTGGACCTTTTCCGCGGATCGAAGGACCATCGAATGCCTACGCTCGGAAGCGCCAGCCCATCGAAGGATAGTAGAGTTCAGGCCAGGCCAGGTCCTTCCTTCTTCTTTTTGGGGGGGTGGGATCCACATGATCTCTATCATTCCATGGATTCGGCTGAAAGGGTGTTGCTCAATGCTGCCAGGTGGTTGAAGAATCTTGAGAATGGAACCTTCACAGATTGATCAACCTGGCTTTATTGGGCCTGGGCACTTCGCCGGACGCACACAAAAGCACCACGCCAAAAGACTCGGGAAAGAGTACGTGCTCGGAAGGCCAGTGGCCAAACATAGTTTCGGAAAGGAAAGCCAAAAGGAAATTATGCCAGAAGACTAGGCTCCCTATGATTCCAAGGGTTATACAAAAAGCAGCAACAACAACATCAACAGCAGCAGCAGCAACCCGAAAGGTGTGAAAAGACCGGTAAATTTGAAAACCGCGCTTCGTTGAAATGGGGGTCTCGCTGTATTGGTCAGGTCCGGGGGTGTGCGGTCCGGACCTCGCCCGAAACTAAGGAAGTTGGCTTGGAATTGGATGGACCTGTTCGTGGTGCCGGGGCTGGAAGAGGTGAAGCACGGTGAATCTTCTTGGGGGTTCCTGGCTGTGGAGGGTTTCTTCAGTGGCACGGGGTTTGTGCTGGGGGTGGCACTAGGTGCACCCGGATGCTGCAGGAATAGTGCATACTAAGGGTCTGGCATTTGACCACTTGACCTGAGACAATGCCATGAAAACAACCTGTGCGAGAACATCGCCACGGGCTTCTCGCAGTTCTTTTTCGGGCCTGTGCAGAGATGATGACCCGCACCCATTTCAAGGAGCCTTCCAGTAGAACTGCCTTGTTTTTTTCTGACAGTTTATCCCTGGCCCAGTCAGACCACCAATCCCTCTAAGGAATCAGACCAGCCCAAACTACATAATAGTGACTATAGCGGTCTTCCAGGGGGACCAATTTTCCACTTCCATGTGTTGGTCCATCGTGTAGTTCAACGATGAGTACCACTGCTCTTCCCGAACTCCCCTAGTGACCTGACCGACCCCCGAGGTGCTCACTTGGCTGGTCGATGTGCTGGGGGCCGCGGTTGAGATCAACCCCATGATGCCGCTCTGAGCAGAGCAGGAGAGAGAAAAGGAAGGGGCAGAGCTGGGCTCTGCAGAGGTGGGACTTGGAGATGGGATGACGTGGTGATCAGCGGGATGACATGGTGCGGCGCGGGTGGATCAGAACATGGTGATCAGGTGATGAATTGGATCTTTTCCCTGAGGTGAAAATCCCTTTCTGGGGAAGACACCTGCAGTCACAAGACGGGGCGCGATCCAGAATGGAGGTTAGGGGTGTCCATGTTCCACTCTGGGGACTAAACACCACCCGTTTGTGACTCCTGATGTATATATATACATATATATATATTTTTTTTTTTCAACCAGCTTCCTGGGCAGCAAATCCTTGATGATGTCATTCAGCAGGATCGAGTCCGTGAGCCGGTAGAAAGAGGGACCGTGCTTCGGATTTTGAGGAGGTGGTGGGCCAGGCCGGCAGGGTAGTCAAGTGGTGACCTCTCGGAAGATCCTATTTGAATGGATCAGTTGTTGCTTTGGAGATCTATAGTCGCCCAATGCTAATCCCCAAATTTCATCCCATCCATTGTAGATCCAGGTCCTAATAGTCCACCTGTCCTTTAACTGAGCAGCATCACCCGATGACCTGAGGTTCCGCGTGCTGCGGCCGCTTGGATGAAGGTGAAATGAGCCAGGGCACAGTCCCCGCACTCTGAGTGGGGCGTGACACCTTGGAACATGTCTCAAAACCTCACGACACATTGCCTCGTCCAGATCCGTCGTGGCCGAAGAGTGATAGACTGTTGGGGGCCACCGGCTCGCCGGGTCGAACCGGGCGAGGATGGCGAAGCTGGGGCGCATCGTGGCTCGGCGGAAGCGGGCGTAGGTGGCGGGTGCCCGAGGCGAAGTGGCTCCGAACATGAGAACTCTTCATTTAGATGTGGGGGAGGGTGTTCTCAATGTAGAGCATCTCTTCCCATTCTGTTTGTAGAGATGCAAATGAGTATTGGATGGCTGGATCGGCCCCCAGGTCTTTCAAGATGACCTTCACATCTTCATCCTCACTCCCTTGACAGATCCATTTTCGGTTCCACCACGGCACTGCCCGGGCTTTGAGGGACGCTCGCACGCTCGATGATAGGGATGCTTGAGGGATGCTTGCGCGATACGAATGGATGCTTGCGGGTCCCGACCGAGGTCCGGGTGCTGAAAGTAATCCAACAGTTTGATTCCCTTCACCTGCTCTTGGGCTCCATCCGTGCCTCCTTCGATATCCTCGCTTGGCCCCTTGGAGACACCTGGGCGGTGCCCCGGGGAGGACCAAGGACGGGGGTAAAACCCACTGGTAGAACACGCCATGGGGATGGGTGGAAGCAGGAATGCGCAGCGGCGCAGCCGGAGGTTTTTGAGCGGGGGGTTTATTGCGTTCCATGTGTCTTCTGATGCCATTATACAGTGAGAAAGGGATAGAATGTAGAATGCAACAAGAACTGTTTTTTTATAGAAAATTGGGAGACCTGTAGACAGCTACAGGTTGCTCACTCTCCAAACAGGGATCTTCTTGCTATGTGCACGGACTCCCTGGTTCCCAGTGTGTGGGTGCCTGGAAGGGAAGGACGTCGGTGACTCGGTTTTCCACATGCGGAGCCCAGATCGGCCTCGCACGCGGTTCCCAAGATCGGACTCCCGAGATGATGGTTGTATCTAAGCTATGCTTGGTGAAAGCAGCGCAGCCAGCGCAGACAACTCCTCGTGGTCATTAGATAGAATCTGCACACATCACCCCATGCGCATGCAACCTCTGTGTATGCAGATGACCCAGTTGTGTGTGCAGATGACTTTGTGTCCGGAGAGACAGGGGAAGTCGTAGCTTGAACGATTGTTGAGGGACAGTTGGCAAGCAGCTAGCTGCGCTGAAGCTTCTGAGAAGTTCCTTATTTTTAGACCTTGATTTCTCCCTCCATGGGGCTGCAATTTTTCGATGCGCTGCACACTCAACATAGGCTTCAATTGGCCTTTTCAGAGAGGAGAGAGGATAGAGAGGCTAAACATGCTAGAAGGGGCCAATACAAACCTACAGCTACTCACAAAAAAAAGGTCAAACGAGGCAAGAATTCAAGGGAAAGACAAAAAAGGACAAGAGAAGCAAAGCGATGGACAGACCAAACGAAAAGGAACAAAGCACATAGAAAAGAATTGCGAAGGAAAGCAGCAAAGAAAGGAAGAACCCGAAGAGGAAAGCGAAAGGACGAGCAAAGGACACGGAAGACAAATCAGAGAGAAGGAACCCAAGGAAAGGGTAGATATTTTTTTTTGGCATGCATGAGGATCGGAAGGCTTGGGTTTACATTGTTTCATCTCACTGATTTCTTATTGTTGAACCGTGCACCGGATTGGGATGCTGTTTGAGCCTGTGTATCCCCGCTGCCGTCGGGGGCCCGAGATCTTGACCCTTTTTGGCTTTCGCCTTTTGGTCCGGAAAAGGCCGCTCCTTTTGCTTTGTGCCGGCACGCGCCGTCACTTCAATAGTGGCACCGGAGCCATCGATCTTGGTCGCTTCGCCCTTGCACGCTCCTGCTGCGCTTTGCTTTGGCTTCGACTCCGCCTCTGCATTTGGCTTCTCCCGCTACCTTGTCCTCCCTGAATTTGTGAAGGGTGATCCTGGCGGTTCACCTGGCCACGTTCCTGGTGGTTGAAGGTGCGGAGATTGAACTTGATAGATTGAGGTTGCAGCCTTAGGTTCTGGCCTCTTCGTTTGCACCCTGTTTCACGAGCCGGAC